TTTTTTTTTTTTTTTTTTTTTTTTTTTTTTCACTTTTGAGAGTAAGGCGTGGAAGCTACCGAAGACGGACAACACCATCGGCTAAAACGTCTTCACCCCTTTTCTAGTTACAACTATCGGGTGTACTTGTTACAACGTGCTGGCGCTTGACCGCTGTCGATAATTCTTCTTTCCAACTACCTCTTCAAATTTTCTTTCATACACCTCTCCGTCCACTTATTACGTACGTATATTTATTTATTTATTTATTCATTTATTTATTTATTTATTTATATATATAGATTTTTTCTCTCCTTTGTTTTTTTTTTTTTTAATTATCTCTTTCTCTCCGTTCTCTTCACTCCTTTGCTTCTCTCTCTCTTTTTTTTTTTTACAGTTGTACGATTAAAAATATCGTTATTGCCAAGTATGATCGATAACACGGTGCGTAACCCCGAGCCTCTGACCGGAGAGACAATTTCCCTCGCTTATCAAACTAAAATGCATCGGAAACTAGACATACGCGCAATACTGTTCGACGAACATCTTATTACGTACGTTTCTTCTTCTTCCTCTTCGAGTTTCATTTGTAATTCTTTTTTTTTTTTTCTTTTTTGATATCTCTTTACACGGGGCTACAGCCAAGGCGATCGCTTTCCTTTCGAACTTGCCGCCATTTTTTTCTCGTCCTTGTTCTCGCGATTCGTCCGTTGCGCGCGAAAATTTGAAAATTCGAATCGATTTCAAAGATTCAACGTTTGTTTAAAATTCGTACGAGATTAAAAAAAAAAGGTTCAAAAGAGAAGCGACCCCCTTTTCGATCGTTTTAAGAAAAATATACATAAATAACGAGGAAATATGGTCGACGAATTACGTGCTCCCCGTAGTTATGGACGATCCTCGAATCGTCACATCGAAGTCTGATCTCGCCTCTACCTCGATTATACGTCGCTTGATTACATAACTGTCTAGTTACCGACCGGGAGACGCGATTTTGTGATTGATTCTGACCTAGATGCGTTGAGAAACTATATGCGGGTTTGTACGTTCGAGGCACACGTGGCTAGAAACGTGTGACGCGTGTTTAGAATGTTTATCGCGAATATACACTTACGATACACCAAGAAATCTATCATTTATAATTATCGAGGAAAAATGAAAAGTAACAACTCGAAAGAACAGATCGTTTAAACACCGTTTCTAATTTAATTCGATCAAAC